TTTGATCTACCTCTGCCATTACCCCTTTCTGTCTTTCTACCTCTCCCTTCAGTGCTTAGCAAAGCACTAGATGATTCTCTAGAACTCCGTCTCCTTATGTCCTCTCCTAGGATGAAGTCACGAATGCCCTCAAAGGTGAGTTTAGAGGTTCCAACTGAACCACTAATTGCAGTGACAGTTCCTGACCAACTTTCCGGTAACGAGGATAACAAAAGCAAAGCTTGGACTTCATCTTCAAACTTAATATCAACAGATAACAAGCGCGATATAATGGTATTGAAACCATTAATGTGTGAGGTAACAGACATACCTTCTTTCATTTTGGTGTTTACTAACTGTCTTATCAGAAAGACTTTGTTAGAAGCAGAAGGTTTCTCATACATGTTTGACAAAGCTTTCATCAATCCACATGCAGTAGTCTTCTTCACAATGTTAAAGGCCACATTCTTGGCCAGTGTAAACCTGATAACAGTCAAGGCTTTTCTGTCTAGAGCAGTCCATTTATTGTCTTCCATCTCTACGGGTTTTATTCCTGTCAAGGCTTGATCCATGTCTTTTTGACACAGAAGATCCTCGATTTGCATCTTCCACCAACCAAAATCTTGTCCATCAAACTTCTCAATTATGGTTTTTCCGTCCTCAGCCATTATCCCAAACTTTTAGCAACAGTGGCAGCAGCAAACAGCAGCAACGGTAGACTATGGCTAGGGTTTCAGCGATTGAATGTAGCAGATCAAGAACCTAAAGCTCTGATACCAGTTGTTCGGACAAACGTTACACATGCAATACGCACAACCCTATGCACAACCCAAAAACAAGAGAAGAACACAAGAATTTACGTGGTTCACACGATCAGATTAATCGTGCTAGTCCACGGGGGCAACTAGGTTTTTCTTTTTTTTTAGGTGCTACCAATGTTTACAAGTACAATGAGATTAATATATATAGACAAACATAATTAGGGTTATCTCCTAATCAAGGAAACTAGGGTAGAAACTAGGGCCGGCTCCTTTGGGCTAGGGCCGGCTCCTTACTTTATGCCTCCTCCCTTTTGTCTAACTTAGTAGGCCGAAGCCTACATTCCAACACTGTTGTGGTGGTTGATTTTTTAACAGGTTTTTAACCTTTTTGTTTGGGGTACTGAGTACTGACTGGTCCATTGTATTGATATAGTCTTGTTTTGCCATTTTAATCGGCTGTTCAATCCTTATTCGCAATCATCTACGTATGCTTAGTAGTAGAGTCATTAATTTCCACCCATTTACCTAAAACTCCATTTATCTCAGTCTCAATGGTCTAATGAAAAACTCCATTTATCTCGGTCTCAATGGTCTAATGAAGAACTACAAGTTCTTCAATTTAAAATCTTTCAAGAAAACATCTAAATACACTTCCAAATTGGAACCCTAGTTGAGTAAAAGTTAACCAAATTGATCTTTTTAGAGTATCAAAACCAAACTAGAAATAGTTGGTCATATGGCTGATTTATACAATACGAGTAAAAGGTGATTTTCTTGATTTTATTGCTTCTCTTTTAGTTTGTAGTCATAATGGTTCTCGCTAGTTTTGGGCAGATGCAGTTCTCGTTATGAACCTCTTCCAATTTTTGGTGGTAACATTCCCTTTTGCTGTCTTTATGTCTGCTTTGTATTTTCATGTCTCCATACATGTATGTAGACGTATGTTTTTGTCTATTATTCTTATCCATGGAGTAAACACTTGACCCTAAGTTCCTCAATATTTCTTTGTTGGCCACGCAGATGTCCTGTTATTATACCTATGTGAGAAGGGTTCTTGCACCAAACATTCTATCAACATTATGTAGTATGTATGATCATTTCTTCCAAATGTTGTGTGCATACCACTGAAGGGATTGCGTTTGGTATGTGGAACTCGATGGGATGGATAAGACTAGTTGTGGAATAGTGTTTGGTAAGACTAGGACGGAACAAAAGAAGGAAATATTCAAGTAATTTTATCAAAATAACATTAACCATATAATTATCATACATGAGATATAACAGTCTAGATATATATAGACTCAGGATCAGGTAGGAAATTTTCCTTTCATAAGAACCGTAGGAATCACCTCAATGCCTGTGGATGAATCGTGCAACTTGATTCGAGGGACTTGATGGACGCAGCGATGTTTTCATAATTGAGGTGAATTTCGATGGCATGGACATGGAGCTTAACATAGTTTAACCTCCCTCATAATCCTTAACATACTTGAACATGACCATGTTATACGTGATCTTAATATACATTAACAACTCTAAACACTCCTCAATATATGTTAACATACCCCTCAATCTTAGTATACATTAACATGATAACTTTAACACATCTTGACCGGCAACCTTAAATCTTAACACACCTTGACTCAAGAAAACCTTAACCATCCCTATGTATATATATATATATATATATATATTATATATATATATAGGGGACATTTCATTAGTTAAAGGTTCATGGTTTTTTGTCGTTAGATAAAAAGATCAACACATTTGAAGGCTCAAAAGTGTTTCTACCTTTCTCACCAAAACTTCTATTCTCTTTCTATATATATACACACACACATAGAGAGAGAGAGAGGAGAATCAAATAAAAACCATAAAAATGCTACAAAACATATGAGAACCGATGCCAACCATTTAATGAGTTTCATGGATTCTAAATGGGCCACATGTTTATTCTTTTGTTTGTTTGTTTCATACATGAAATGTATGTACATGTTTTTTTCTCATGCAAAACAATCCTGAATGCTTCATATATAAAACAATTTCACATGTATGGTTTCATATGTGAAACAACATATAATAATTGGTTCTTATGTGAATCCCAACTTAAAATGAAACCCATTGAATGGTTGGGAACTTGGGATTGGATCTCATGGGTTTTTATTTGATTCTCTCTATATGTATATTATCATCTCAAAAAAAAAGTTTTGATGTGGGAAAAAATGATCTTTAGGTAAAATTGTCCCACTTTCGTCAATGTTCTCCCGAAAAGGTGGGACTAAAAATGTCAATTTATCCCACCTTGTCCCAAGCCTATGCCGTACCAAATGTGGGACAAAACCTTTTAGTCATGTCCAATATAGTCCAATTTCATGTACCCAAGCCTAACATGTACTTTAGCATCCAGATTAGTACCAACATATACTAGTTGGTAAGAATAACTTCAAAACATAAAGTCTTCCTTGAATGTTTCATTTTTTGGAAATTTACATGTTAAGGTTACATATCTACGATACTATTACACGATGTATTGGTTAATGGTGTTATGTACAACATGATTTCTCAAGAAACAAAATTTAGCATTTTAGATCTGTGGCAAATACACAATTTATTTCTAATATGTGTAGATGATTTTAGTGTCATCAACGAATTTGGTGTAATTATGATTTACTTGGATCGATCAATGTGATAAGGCGAACGTTAGTGAGTTACGAGGTGTGGAGTGCACCTCACAAATGTTGCCCCTATCACTTAGAGTTTAGATTGCCATAAGGCGGGGGTCAAGGGGGCTGCGCCCCCTTTCAGGATTTCAAGGGACAGAGCTCCTTGGTGGTGGTCCTGAAGTTTAAGAAGAGTTAAATTTAGAGAGGTCTAGTTTCAGGATGATGTGGACGAATTTCAGAAGGTTGGAAACCTTCTTGAATTTGTTTCTGACTTGAGGTTTGTGCAACCAGACTTGTGGTTTCTGGACTATACAACCAGACATGTGGTTTGTGGACTATACAACGAGACTTATGGTCTGTGCGATCAGAGTTCGGATACAGTTGTTACTGTTCCCTAACCTTATCCATTCACGGTTATAACCTCTCTTAACCGCCCGTAACTGTTGATCTCTCATATAAATATGTAAACGAGAATCTGAGTATATACAAGGGCTCGATCTCACAGGCTTTGAGATAGAGAGTTTCTCTTGGATTATCCCAATACAAAATTCGTGATATCTGAGTATAAGGGATGAATTATTGTATTTGGAAAGTGAACTTTCACGATCCGACGAGATTATCCGGTCCATGAATCATCTCTGAATCCTAGTCTCTAACAATATGTGCAACTGGGACGTCCAATTTTCACGGGATGGAGGGAGGATAACTATTTGTTTGAATATGTAAAACCCTATAACAATCAGTTTTGGCTGGTAAGGGAAGTTCCATTAGGAACCCAAAATTGATTAGGAACCCGAAAACCTCCCACAACATGCCACGTGTCTTCAGGATGAATATTCATCATGAATAACACATTCATGATAAATATGTTACAACATTCATGATGAATAACACGTCCATATTCGTGATGAATATGCCATGTGTCGCGTTGTGGGCAGTTCTTGGTTCCTAATCAATTTTAGGTTTCTAATGGAACCTGCCCTGACCATCGGGCATCCCATATCGACCATTTGTCGCATCATCTCTTTTTTTAAGCTTGCAAGAATGATATTATGTTGATCTTCATTTAAGGCACCAGTGAAAAGTAAACCAGTGGACATAAGGTGGTTCTAGAGGTAGCAAAATGTGTTGGGATCGTTGGTTGGGTAACTAGCCGCATTGGATTCACGTCAAAACTAAAATTCTTTTGTGCAGGTCAAAAAGTCATATTGGGTTCACCAAGAAATGCTTTATGTTGTTCTTCTTTATACAAATAATTAATGTGTTTATATAAATGTTTTGTTTATACAAATGTTACTCATTGTTTATATAATGTTATGTGAATGTAGTGATAGGATCGGACGTGATCTATAGCGAAGAAGCGGTGACAGATTTGTTAGATACGTTGGTAGAACTCAGTGGGATTAACACAACAATTATTCTGGCTGGAGAACTTCGAAATGGTAATAGCTTGAGATGTTATATTCGCTTGCTTTTGAAATCAGTCACTCCACTCGTTCGGGTAGATGTCATATTTGAAGCTGTTGGTTGTTTAGCAGATGCTATCCTTGAATACTTCTTGGAAGCAGCAATGGAGGAGTTCATGATCGGTCGGGTTGATCAAGCAGGTTGGCATCCGGATTATCGCAGTCCACGTGTTGCTATGTATGTGCTGGTTATGAAATGATCATATATACATACATATATATATATACATACATATATATATATACATACATATATATATATATATATATATATACATACATACATATATATATATATATATATGTATATCGTTATTAGTTCAAGAACCAATCCCCGTATGGCTATATATATAGTAATAGTATAGCTGGAAGTTTTGTTTGTTTTTAAGAAGATTCGGAAAACCATTGATGTTTTGCATACATCTTCTGTCGGGTATTCAACATACATAGAAATGGTGTGTTATCCCTATTCAGCTACAAAAATGACACCCGTACCCCTTATTTAAAGCATTGTCTCCTTCCCAAATGAGACAGCCCATCGTCAACCTCTTTATGATTTTTTGTTTTGATGTTCAAATAATTAATATTGGGGGGTAAATCGGTCATTTATGTTATTCAGACTGTTGGTTCAAATAAAAAAAGTAAACAACACCCATTTATCTAGACAGACAAATTTATCCGTACAGGACTTTGTGATTCATGGAAATATACCTATAGGATAATGTGTTAAATCATTCCTTGTAATATCTACAAGTGAAAAATGTAATTGGAAAAGGCTTGGAGAAGAATAGCATCTGAAAATAGAATAAAATGATATTTATAAAGCCATGATGAGTTATAGGCTTAAATTGCTGTTTGCTAAACATTTATTTAGTAAATGCTTATACGGTCACTTTATCTTATCATATGTACATGACAAATATTGAGAATCTTATTCGATAAGAGCGATGACAAGGGCTGAGGTAAGCGCTTACCGGATGAATTGTAGCATACGATGCCGTTTTACTGGATTATAATCTTACCCGTTAAGTTAAGTGAGAACATTGATTCTTGCTAGTAAGTGGTTATCGGGTAAGTGTTGAGTAAACGGACTCTCAATATTGTTGATCGCGATGAGTGTAAAATGCCTCAAAATGCTCCATTTGACCCAACGTACAACATACGAGGGCTTAAAAATGAGCATCGAGGATTCATTCCAAATCTTAACGAAGAAACACACCGAAAATTCCAAATAAAATGTTTCAGATTATGATGCTTCAAAAGTTAACATGTTTTTACAAAATTATATAGATTTACAGATATATTTAGAGTTGTGATCAAGTATGCTGATTACAATGACATTACAAATATGAGATATGCATGGCATTCTCAGCTGGTAAAGAGACGGTGTGACTTTGACCAAATACAAGATAGGTCTAGGTTCGACCTGCGTTAGCTTTGGTCGCTGAGTGAGCCAATAATGCTCCTTCACATTGGTGTCGTTTGAGGCGGGTTCCGTGTGGAGCTGATTTGAGTTACAGGTAATCAACTTTTTGCCAAAATATGAGATATGCGTGCAAGGACAAGCGGCGAAATTGGATGAATATGAATATGGGTTTTTAATGATAAAAGAAAATGAATTGCAGTTGAAGATCATCGTCGAATTTTATTTTATTTTCCTAAACATGCAAGGGAAAAGTATTGAATATAACGGTTTGGTTCCGTAAGAAGGGAAGTTAAGAATAATCTAAATCTGCCCACACACAACTGTCGAAAATTTTATTTTATTTTAGTTCTGTCTAAAATCCATTGAATTTCAAGTATTTAAAATTTTTAAAAATATGTATTTCCTCTATATAGAGTAATCTAAATCTGCCTACACACAACTACAAATAGAATAATCTAAAACTGCAAATAGAGAAATCTAAATTTGTCCACATATAACTACAAGAAGAATAATCAGTGGTGCAAATGCAGTTTGTCTAGCTAAAATTAGGAGGGGGAAGGGGTGGGGTAAAGCTGATTGGAGCACCAGTGAATCTAGCGACCTGCTTCATCATTTGTCCCATTTGTTCTACAACGGTTTGATGTACCTGTTGCTCTATTTACTGTTCACACCTCTATTAAAATGTCCGTTGTTGCTCTGCAATCTGCTCATCTCTCTTTTTAAGCTCCTCTTTCAGGTGTCGTACCTTCATTTATTCAACATAAACAATTAATATCAATCAAACGTAATATAAGTTTATTAGATAATAAATGTATGAGTATATATATATATATATATATACACACACACACATATATATACATACCTCATCAAAAATCACCTGCTTAGAGGACTGTATGGTACTAGAGTTGGAACAGGGGTACCGATCATCACGTATTGTGGATCGTGTGGCACATCAACTCATAAATCCTCCCCTTTTTCACTTCTTCGGCAACTTCCGTCCACTCATCAACGTCCCCTAACTGTGGCTAAGAAGCCATGTCCTCCCCATACTTTTGGACGACCAGTTGCTGATACCGGGACTACAATTGCAAAACATGATAAGAACAAAAATTAGCAGCCTCATGTCTGTAAATTGAACATATCCAGAATAAATCAAGTCTAGCGTTTGCCCAATAATTGGCAACGCAAACTACGTTAAAGACTTTATAACCACATTAAGACCCGTTAAGGTCCATTGCGACTCGTTTATGCTTAATATGACCCGTTAAGATCCGACAAGACCTATTAAGGTCCATTATGACTCAATTATGCATAATATGACTCATTAAGATCCGATATGACCCATAAGTACATTATAAATCAGTTAAGCCTAATATGAGTCATTAAGATCTACCAAGACCCATTAAAGTACATTATGACTCATTTGGGCTTAATTTGACCCATTAAGGTGCATATGAGTCACTTAGGCCTAAAATGACCCATTAATATTTGACAAGACCCGTTAAGGTACATTACGACCCAATTAAGCCTAATATGATTCATTAAGTTTCTAGACCCATTAAGGTACTTTATGACTCACTTAGGCGTCTGAGTCGCCTTGGGAGTAATCAACTTTCCCGACCCGCTTCCGAATGCACCTTCCGACCCTATTTTTTTCCCATAGTTCACTTTAAACCACTCCACTATAGACACTTGATGCTTCTCTATTTTGCTACAATAGACAACATGATTGTTAGTTGATAAAGAATTGCAATAAATTTGAAAAAGAAAAATTATATATATATATATGTGTGTGTGTGTGTGTGTGTGTGTGGAGGTTCAAATGAGAACACCCCATTTTAAGAGAACACGAAAACACTCTTATCACATGTGATAATATGCGTGAGGGGACCTGTGATGTGCGGATGACGTGTTCTACAACTTAGGCTGCGTCAAATGTTGTCTGCGTCTATGATTTAACATTCCATGTGATGGTCTTGATGGATTATAGTATCATATTAACAACAATCTTATCACATGTGATAATACTTGTGAGGGGCTTAGTGGTGTAAGGGCGACTTGGCCCGCAACCAAGATCGCATCGAAAATCACCCTCGTCTTTGATTTAGTATCACATGTGTATCATATGTGATGGAATAATAGTATCACATGTGATTGTCTATAGTAAAAGGTTGTTCTCACTCGTGCTGCGTGTTTCTATTACGTCGGCCAGATAAGGATAAGGCGTCTTCAAAAACAAGCAGGTATATATATGTAACATATTTACATAACTGAGGCATTGATTAAACAACTAGTCTTCTTGCGTCCTTAGGAATCTTGATTGCTCATCCGTCCCTGAGTTAGACCCTGAACCTGCTGTGACATCCGTCACCAAACCAGGTTAGTCAACCGTAACTCGAAACCTAACGTTAGCCCTTTTAGTAAATTTATGTGCTCGCATGCTTTCTGAAACATAAGGTGTGAAATTTTAGGAGTTGGGTGGGTTCATTTTTTTTTCCTTAAGTACTCTAGTCATTCTAATAGTAGAGGAAAGCTAAGTGTTTATAATTCCTAAGTTGAATTTCTTTTCCCTAGTACATAAATGGGTCTATACAAATGTTTTATGTGCATTGTACCGGTGACTAAAAGTCTTAAGCAAATGATTTGAGTTAATAATGTTAACTAGTTAGGTTGTTTAAAAAAAAAACTAATATTATCAAAAGAGCTTATCATATAAAGAGATAAATCAAATAGTTTTAAATAAATTAAATAATATATATATATATATATATATGTATAATTATCCATGGAATTTCAAAATTTAATAGTTGGTTGTGGATAATCTTCAAATCTTCTTTATCTCATACTAAACYYTAATTACTCTCATTCCTAAGAAAAATCAAAACACATCATTCTCTCTCTCTCTCTTTTTTTTCTCTCCTTTTGCTTGACCAAGAATCATCATCATCATCAAGTTATTCAAAACTTTGTTCTTGAAGCCTACAAGTGATATCTTCATCACAAATCGTTGAGTTSGTAARAACCTTCACCTTGTTTGTCTTTCTATCGTCTTCATGGTCTTCATTCGATTGTTAATGTAACTCTAATGGATGGAATATATATTTTTGATTAAAAACATTTAGATTTTATAAAAGAATAAGTTTTGATGAGTCTTGGTTAATAACAGAGTCCTTGGTGTGGTTATTTAGTAAAAACAATGTCGCTTGATCCATTCCAGAATCTAGGCAGAAAATGTGTTGACTTGGAGAGGCCGTATCTCAGTCATAACATGGAGTTAAAATACAAATTTTGGGTCTAGGTTCAATTTCAATGAGTCCACTTTCTGTTCCAAGTGGTTTCGTGTCAAAACAACAAAATTAACTTGGTCAAAAAGCCTTTACCGTTCAGGGTCGCAAAACTGGAATTTTTGGGACAGAATCTAGGACGTATTGGGTGCCTCACAACTCCCTCTTTTTTTCGAATTCTTTGGTAAAACTTTTTCTGGATTGAGTTCAATATGTCTATTAGTCTCTGTAAAAATTCCAGAATTTTTGGAGGTCTTTAAGTATTTTATTTTGTATATAACTTTCTGTTGCGCAAAACAGAACAATTTACTGACTTGTACTTTTATATTATTTTTTTTAAAATTAGTAAAACATTAATTAAAATTAAGGAAAATTTCTGAAAATACCTAAGACTCGGAAGTCTATACCATTAAATTTTGGAACCTTATCTAATTCATTTAAGGTATAGGAAAAATTCTTGAAGTAACCTAAAATTTCGGTTAAGAAACC